CCCCTCCAGGGAGGCCCCGCCTGAGCGAGGAGGGTATCGGAATACCATACTATTTACATGGTTTCGTGCCCCTCCCACCCCTCCAGGGAGGCCCCGCCTGAGCGAGGAGGGTATCGGAATACCATACTATTTACATGGTTTCGTGCCCCTCCCACCCCTCCAGGGAGGCCCCGCCTGAGCGAGGAGGGTATCGGAATACCATACTATTTACATGGTTTCGTGCCCCTCCCACCCCTCCAGGGAGGCCCCGCCTGAGCGAGGAGGGTATCGGAAAACCATACTATTTACATGGTTTCGTGCCCCTCCCACCCCTCCAGGGAGGCCCCGCCTGAGCGAGGAGGGTATCGGAATACCATACTATTTACATGGTTTCGTGCCCCTCCCACCCCTCCAGGGAGGCCCCGCCTGAGCGAGGAGGGTATCGGAAACCATACTATTTACATGGTTTCGTGCCCCTCCCACCCCTCCAGGGAGGCCCCGCCTGAGCGAGGAGGGTATCGGAATACCATACTATTTACATGGTTTCGTGCCCCTCCCACCCCTCCAGGGAGGCCCCGCCTGAGCGAGGAGGGTATCGGAATACCATACTATTTACATGGTTTCGTGCCCCTCCCACCCCTCCAGGGAGGCCCCGCCTGAGCGAGGAGGGTATCGGAAACCATACTATTTACATTGTTTCGTGCCCCTCCCACACCTCCAGGGAGGCCCCGCCTGAGCGAGGAGGGTATCCGGACCATACTATTTACATGGTTTCGTGCCCCTCCCACCTCTCCAGGGAGGCCCCGCCTGAGCGAGGAGGGTATCCGAAAACCATACTATTTACATGGTTTCGTGCCCCTCCCACCCCTGCAGGGAGGCCCCGCCTGAGCGAGGAGGGTATCGGAAACCATACTATTTACATGGTTTCGTGCCCCATCCCACCTCTCCAGGGAGGCAAAACCATACTATTTACATGGTTTCGTGCCCCTCCCACACCTCCAGGGAGGCCCCGCCTGAGCGAGGAGGGTATCGGAAAACCATACTATTTACATGGTTTCGTGCCCCTCCCACCCTCCAGGGAG